GTGTGTTTGTTGGTTGACTGCGCCCATTGCGCGGACTGCTGAAGTGTGATGTGTATGCGTGTGCCACAACGTGTGGGTGGTGGCCCTATCTCTCTTTCTCTCTCCTGATGAATGTGGCTGCGTGGACTCGTGTGTCTGTGCCCATTTTTTTTGTTTGCCTCTCCCCCTCTCGTCCTCCTTTTGGCTGGTTGTGGGTGTTCAGCCGCAGCGCAAGCCTACGACAACTGCGAGGGAAGGAACTCATGTGAGCAATGCCTGGGAGACGCGAGGAAGGAGTTCGCGCTGCTGCGGTGGCGCCCTGCATGTACTGCGCCGCAGGGACGGCGTCGGTGGAGGTTGGGCCCGCCGGCGGCACTCGGTAGCCCGCAGCGCAGCGCGGAAGGGCGGAGGGGGCACCGCCGCGGCCACAGTGAGCCGTTGACCGCGCGGTGGAGGGAGTGTGCGAGTTTGTGCTCAACGCGAAGTGGAGCCACGTCTTGGGGTTTCTGCGGCTGAAGGGATGGGGAAATGGCGGTGCGGACGGCGGTGGAACGGGGCCACACACTCACCAACGCAGTCGGGGGCGTGCACGGTGCAGGGGACAACTCCTCCACTGCAGGACAGCGCTGCGCAGCTTCGTGCACCGCGTCCCAGCCTGACGGGACTCGCCTCCGCGGAGGGCTGGCCGTGCCCGCTGAGGGAGGGAGAGTACATTGCCGGCTGCTGCGTTCACTCTGTGGTGGGGGCGGGTGTGGCGGATTGTCAAAGGCGATTGGGGAGGGAGCGCTTCGCACCAAAGGACCAAAAGCGTTTGAGGTGAGGCGGCGTGTCGTGAGTGGGGCGCCCGGGGTGGCGGCCTCGGTGGTGGACGAGTGCCGGCCCCCACCCCCTCTACCGGCCGCTGCACCGCGATGAATGCCCGCTCCACTTTGCTCTCTGCTGCCTTGGAGGCGAGTTGGCGGACGTGTTCAGCACGGCCACGCAAACGACGACAGGGCACGAGGGCGGGCTCGAGATCCGAAGGCGTGTGAGCGATTTGTCGTGGCGGGCAAGAGGGGGTGTATTGTCTACGATGCGTCAGAGGAAGGAGCACCGCTGCCGTGGGTAAACTTACGGCCTTGTGGGTGGGGCATGATTGCGTGTTGGCATCCGCAAAGGGAAATAACTCCAGAGCACTGGCGATGCGACTGCATCTCTGCCTCGCCCCACCATGCGCTGCCGCGACGAGAAGGAGGTGACGGCGACGTGTGCCCGGCGGACGCGCGCCATCAGCCCGCGCAGGAGCAAAAGAAGTAGTGGGAGGCGGTCGCGGGTCGCATGCGGCTTGTCGGACCGCTGCCACGTGACATCTTCAGTGCGGCTGCGTTCGATGGGCGCACTGCGGCGGGTGACGGCGCCCTGCAGGCGACTGGCGCCCCGGTTGCCGAAGACGACTCTGCTCGGGAAGGCGAGAAACTGTGGGGTGCGGGGAATCCGTTTCGGAGGCCTGTGAAGATTGAGCGGGAGTGTGGCGCACACGGTGTGGATGCCGTGCGGCACACAAATGTGTGTCGCCTCTTTGGATCCTCGAATGGTGGCACGTTTGTGTGGGGTTCTGGGCCCCAGCGAGGGCCTCTCGCGGTTACGGCGTGCGGCTCGCCTTCCTGAAAAGCTCCAGAAGCCGCGTGCCCCGGACCCACTCACACACACACGCACACGCTGGGGAGGAGGGCCTTCTGCGGGCAC